GATGACATGAGAAGATGTGAAGATAGTGTTAGGACATATAGCAACAGGAAGTGATGGGACCTCTGAAGAAGTCAGATGAGACAAGAACCAGGAGAAAGCTGGGAGATGTGGAAGGAAGTGACCAACTGTTTGAATGAACACTGAAGTTTAGGAAAAAAAACATTTTTTATTTGATCCTATCATAAGCTATATAGTTAAGCAATATGTTGTTTAGAAGCAAGCAAGTTAGGAAGCTTATCTTTCTGAACATTAACATTCTTCTATCAAAATGGTTTTCAAGATAAGATAAAACTATATTGCTTTTCTTTGAAATATATATATAAATTGTGTCTGCCTAAGCATCTTGTTCCTTTCTTTAGCAAAATAATCTACTGACTCTTAGTTATTGAGTCCTTCATTGAGATGGGGTTCTATTAGAATGTTAATTTCACTTTTTTATGTAGTAGTAACTAACAACGTTTGAGTTGCATATCTAAAATTGTTTTGCAGACTAATATTGAAGAAACCATATGCCAGGATTAACACTCCCCCCCAAAGCCTGTGGTTTAGTTCCTAAATATAAGTTAAAACACTTCAAAGAAAAAACAGACCACTTATTTAAGTGCTGCACCTTACAGACTAACTTAATCAGTAATGATGAAATAGACTGCTGCTTATGAAAGCATCTCTGATTAGGTTAGTCTAAGAGACGCAAATCTACCCTGCCTTTTTCCTAAACTATCTTTAAAAGGGAAGTAAAAAAAATAAGCAGCATCCTTAGAACATTCCTCTGCATTTGATGGCTTATATATTTAATTTCTGTCATAGTTCAATGTTCATTATCAAAAAGAAGATACACATTTTTGGGTTATTTATGATGACACTATGCAAACAGTAGTTACAATAGGCCATTTTGCCCTTGTGTTTCTAATAGCTACTGCAGAACTGATATGTTAAGTTTAAGATTATCTGAAGATAAGGCTACAGCTCGGCAGTTCAAAGTTCAAAAGAGATCATTACCTTCAAGGACAGAAACAACTAAGTTTGTCATCCACTGCTTTATAGCAGGAGTATCTTGGTAAGTGACCTGGAACTCTTCAATTGAGTGAGCACACACAACACAGTCATCAGCATATTAAAAACCAGCAGTGGAAGTATTGCTTGTCCACTTGTTACAATTAGAGGTCAATGTTTGGAGACAGTTGAGCATCTTCTCAACCTGAGTAGCCACCCCTTCCAAAAAATAAACTTATCCAATAATATTCAATACCAGATAAAATCTGCCAGTGCTGCCTTTGGATCTCTCTGAAATTGTCTTCAGTGATCATGACATCAGGCCCCAAATTTACCATCTAGCAGGCTGTTGTTGTCAATGCTATTGGATGTCTTCAGAAAATCCTCTACATGAATCTGAAGGACAGAAGAACAACTGCCAGCATTCTGGCTCAAGGAAATACTGCCAGCATTGAAGGCATATTTATATGGTACCAACTCCTTTGGACAGAATACGCCTTAAAGGATGCCTGGCAACCAGCTCCCAAAACAGGTCCTATATTCCCAGCTCACCAGTGGCCACCACTCTAGAGGTGGATAGAAGAAGATATTCAACCTTAAAGGCCAATTGAAGAAATGCAGTATTAACGTAAATATTTGGGAAACTCAATCACTGAATCATCCCCAGTAGTGCCACGATGTACTACAAGGTATTAGTCATTTTGAGCAAACTTGTCTCATTAGGGGGGGTTATAGAACAGAGGCTGAATGAAAGAGCTGTGACCCAAAATTGCCAGGATCTACTCCTTCCTCCTGGAACTATTTCCATGTCTGCAGTTGAACATGTGGATCTTGGATTGGCCGCCTCAGTCATCTGCAGATTTACTTATGACTTCTATATTTACTGGATGACTGTCATCCTCGTATTGAGGGGCTGCTGCTACTGATAGCAGAAGTACTTCATTTATACCAATAGTTAACCCATCATTGCAAACTATCAGTTTAAAACTTTTGGCATCTCAGTTCAAAAGCTGGTGAGAGCTATTGGTGAAACCTTGGAGAGTAGCCTCTCCTCTCAAAGAACTTACTTTGTTATCACAGGAGACTTCATTTTATTAAACCTAGTGGCCAGAGATATTACTGTAGGAACAAATTTATAAAAAAAAGAAAGTATTTGAATTGAAATAGATTATGTGGCTCTAAAAATGTTTAATGAAAATTATAATAAACAGGTTTTACATTATTCAGCTTTCATAATTTTAGAGAGGGGTTTTTGAACAATGAACTCAATTCAATAGGCAGTCCAAATATGTTCACAGGTTATGGGGCAAATTTTAAATTAATGTCTCTGTCTCTTCCTTATATTTTTGTTAGTTTTGCATTGTAGAATGTAGGAAAAAATGAAGGGGAGAATGAGTAAGCCATGTGTTTTTGTTACTTTCATGCTTTCTCTTTGGGAAAAATAATAATTTTATGAAGCAACTGATGAAATATGTACTTCTATCATGTGGTAGTTCATTGGTTAAAGACTTTTTATTCCTCTTCCTTATTTGGCTTATATTTCACACTTGATATTTGGGAAGGCTGGCATTATCCCAGGGGTGGACAAAGTCTGGTCTGTGGACTGGATTCGGCCTGCAGTGGACTCCATTTCCCATCAGCCACTGCCTGTGTCATTCTGGCAGGTCTCCATGGAGACCCTAGGAGTAGTGAGACAGCAGGGGCCGAGTGTCTCCATGGAGACCAGCCTGAGCTGCAGGTTATGTGGCTGGGTGGGGTGCTGCTCCAGGGCTGGGTCCAGGATCTTGCAGCAGTGACAGTGCAGGCTGAAGCCTGGGCAGAGCCATGATCTGCTGCCCCAGCGTCTTGCAGGTAGTGGATCATGGATCTGCCCTGGCTCTGGCCTGCACTGTCATTGCTGCAAGATCCTGGCCCTGGCTCTGACCCTGGCCCCAGAGCAGCCTCCCACCCATTCGTGCACCTTGCCAACAAGCCTCTTAGGTTGGTCTCCATGGAGACATTGGCCCTATACTGTCACAGCCCTACCACTCCTGGGGTCTCCGTGGAGACCTAGTGGAGCAACTCTGGCAGGGGCTGCTGGGAAATGGAGTCTGGCCGCTGGCCATATCTGCCATTTTGCCCACCCCTGCGTTATCCCTCTCTTTTTGTCCTCATTTAGGCTAAAATAAGATGTCATGAAAAACAATGGCACATTTCTCATTGACTTAAATAGACACAGTTTTGAAATATGATCTTTGATCTGGTATCCCATGATGTTCTCGTGGGAAAATTGGTGGATTGTGGGCTTAACTGCTCAACAGTAAGGTGGGTAGGAGGCTGGCTGTGGGGTAGGACCCAGAGAGTTTTTATGAACGGATCTGTGTCATCCTGGTGAGAAGTGGCCAGTGGTGTCCCTCAGGGGTCCGTGCTTGGTCCAGTGCTTTTCAACATCTTTATCAATGATTTGGATGTGGGGGTGAAGAGGTCACTGGCCAAGTTCATGGATGACACCAAGTTATGGGGGAGTGTGGTCACACTTAAAAATAGGCTGCAGATACAGGCGGACCTAGACAGGCTGGGAAGTTGGGTGAATCGGAGCCAGATGAAGTTCAACATTGAGAAGTGTAAAGTGCTCCATCTGCAACATACTTACAGGCTTGGTGGCACCAAACTGACTAGCACCACAACTGAAAAGGACTCGGGGTAATAATAGACCATAGACCATAGTAGACAACAGTATGAACACGAGCCATCAGTGCAATGCTGTAACCAGCAGGGCAAACAATATTCTGGCATGCATTAACCGATGCATCTCAACAAAACCAAAGAAGTGATTCTCCCACTTTACTCATCATTGGTGAGACCACAGCTGGAGTCTTGCATCCAGTTCTGGGCACCACAATTCAAGAGGGATGTGGAAAAGCTTGAGAGAGCCCAGACAAGAGCCACCCGTATGATCAGAGATTTGCAAAGCAAACCATATGAGGAAAGGCTGAGGGGCTTGGGTCTCTTCAGCCTAAAAAGGAGAAGGCTGAGAGGGGACTTGGGAGCAGCTTGCCACTATATCAAGGGAATACATCAAGGGCTCAGCAAACAACTGTTCACCAGGGCATGTGTGGGGAAAACCAGGAGTAATGGCTACAAACTCCTGGAAGACCGTTTCAGGCTTGACCCTAGGAAAAACTTCTTCGCAGTCAGGGTGTCCAGACTGTGGAATAGGCTCCCTCCTGTGTTGGTGCAATCACCTACCCTGGAACTCTTCAAGAGGAGATTGGATGGTCACCTCGCTGGTGTCACCAGACCCCAGTTGTTTTCCTGCCTAGAGCAGGGCAGCTGGGCTCTATGATCTTGCAAGGTCCCTTCCAGCCCCTTACAGTCAATCTATGAATTATATACTGTGATTTTTTTTTTACTTCCTGGAGAATTTCTCTTTGTGGTTTTCAGCAAAGCAGTACAAAGAAGAAAGTAGTGCTGTTTTTGTAATATCTAAAAGACCTTTGTTAGTAGTGTTTGTCTGGCCTCTTGTTAAAGATTTTTAGGGTTAAATTTCAATCACATTGGCATAAATGTAGCTTTAAGTTACACCTAAGTATGTAACAATGTAGAAGCAAATCGGACTCTTACTAACCTCTAGCAATTGTTTTTTAAAATTGAAATTAAGTTAAGAGGTGACAAGTGGATTTGACTTTCATTTGGCAGCATTTTTAGATATGTCTGTTTAACCAGAAAATACTCTTACTTCTGCCAGGTCTTTCAGAAAGAACAAAATCTTCTCTTGAGACTGATAAACAGTAATAGATAAAATAAAGAATGATGTGCTCAATGGGGTACAGTTTAAGTAGAGGAAATCTAATGGGAAATATGTACATTAGTAATAGATGGATTTATTTCCTGAATTTCAGTCATGCTGGAAATCTTATACCAGTTAAAATTTGTCCTCCAAATTCTTCGTTTGATAAAAAAAAATGTGAGTAAAACTATTCATTTGGTTACACTATGTGATTTTTACCATTTTTTTTAAATACTAGGCTATTTTTATGATTCCCACAAATCCACCTCCAACGTTCCGGAAGCCGGAGCTGTGGTCTGATGAGTTTACTGATTTTGTGAAGAAATGTTTAGTGAAGAATCCGGAGCAGAGAGCTACTGCAACACAACTCCTACAGGTTGGTATTGAAGCTCCTACAGAAATGCCACCTCTCTGCTTTTGTTGAGCAAGACAGATCTTTGTAAACCTGTAGGAACCAGGGATAAATCCTGTTATGGCCTCATTGTCTTTATTATCTCTTCTCCCTTTCCTGCTAAGTGTCCATTTGTACCCTAGCTTCTATACCTCCATCCTTGTTGTAGGTCTCTTTTACCAATCCCCAAAATTAAATAATTTTTAGGTATGGTTCTTCATAGTAAACACTCATATTATGTCTTTGCACTAGCTCTTGTTTCTTCAGTTAAACACACAAGGCCCATCCACTTACACCTTAGTCTTATGCACTTTTGTCTAATGCTGTGAGAAGAATATAAGCTGTGACAGTGGGGTCAAAAAGATGCAGTAGTCTTGCTAGTGTTAAAGGTAACATTACTTGAAGTTGCCTGGATTCCAGGCATGTCTAAATGGTTTTAATGTTTGTATTAGTCCCCTTAAATTGAAGGGCGATTGATGTCCTATAGGACATAGGACCATGGAAAATTATCCCGATCTTACTCTGTCTTCAGAGCTCTGCCAGACCTGTGTCTCACACTGGTGACATTGGCAAATGGACTTGACCTAGTAACAAGACTGTTCCTGTAATTTCCCTATAGGATCTTTTATGTCCATATTCCTCCTCTTTGAGAGGATGCTGCAATTCCTATTGTACTGCTAGATCAGATAGACCAGATTTTACCACAGGGAGACTCAGGAAAGATTTACTTATATAGCTATTCTGCATTAAAGCATCTGATATCAGATGAAAGCCCTTAGAATCTGCCAGGCAGTTAGAGTGGATGAAAAATGTGTGCTATTTTATATTTTATACATTGGGGTTTAGGGTCTGTAAAATAATAAAGTTGTTTCACTGAAATTGCCTGCAGTGCCTCGGGGAGAGCCAGCAATTGCTGTGGCAAATTTGAGAAGAAAAACAAAATCATTGTTTCTCAGGGGGAGGGCAGTAGGGCAGGGAGCCCCAAGCCCACAGTGGGCATCGTTGAAAGACATTAATTTTAACACTGATACTCTAAGCAGTAGTTCTCAACCTATTTGATGTAGTGGGCCACAACTCACAGCTCTCAATGTGTTATGTGGTCTGAACCCCACAGCTCAGGGGCCCCCCAGCTGCCCAGGCTACAGGACCAGGGCCCACAGACTCTTGTCCTCTGCCCAGCAGTGCCTGAGCCCCAGTTGCTGCCCACAGGAGGGGACAGGAGCACAGAGCCTGGCTTCTCTTTCCCCTCTCCCCCTTCACTCTGTGGGTAGCACAGCCAGAGCGGAGCCCATGGGGGGGCATGGATACAGACTACACGCTGTGGGCTTGGGGTTCCCTACCCTGCTGCCCTCCCCTTGGGGCCTCCATGGCCCAGCAGCTGGGAGGCAGCACCAGCTGTCAGGAAGGCTTGGTGCCACAGCTGGGAGCCCTACACTGGCCATGCCGTTATGGCGAGGTACCCCCTACCTGCCCAGCAGCAGCAATGGCATGGAGTTATGCTTCCCGCTGCTACCAGGAAGGCATAGGGGTGCCTCTGTATGGCAGTGCGGCTGGTGTGGGGCTCCTGGCAGTGGCACTGAGCCTTCCCGCCCCACTCTGTTGTGAAGGTGTCTGAGGGAAGGGCAGTAGGGTGGAGAGCCCTGAGCCCACAGTGGGTAGTTCGCATCTGTCTCTGCCCCGTACACAAATCTAGGGGTGATTTGCTCCCCAGGAGTGCATGCAGTGGTGGGGAGCCGACTCCCCCACGGACCCCAGATGAACCCTCTGTGACTCCATCCTGTTCCCTGGCCAGGCCTTGTGGCTGCACATTCCTGCCCTGGCCCTGGGCTCCACACACTGCCCCAGCTGGGCAGTGCCCCTAGCCCCAGCTCTGTCCTGCCCTGCCCTACTCTACTCTACTCCCTCCCTCACCTTGGGGGCCTCAGTCTGCTCCCGTCCTCCACCTCTCCACATAGATTTACCTGGAGGGAGCTGTTCTCCATGCTGCCTGACTGCCACATGCATGTGTGCGCGTGCACATGCATGTGGTGCCCCCTGCCTCCCATTGCACTCCCCCGAGCCCCAAGCAGCCCTCTACCTGCAAGTCATCATTTTTTACAACGTTATTTTTCATTTAGGGTAATAATTTATTCTTTTGCCAGTCTCTGAATTGAAGATAGATTTATTAGAAATGTCATAGAAACTCTTAATAGATAAGTTAGAATTTTCTGACAGCAGGTGTTTAATTGAGAGGAATATGCATACACTGAATTGTAAGAAACAGGTAAACGATATTTTAAATGGTTTTAGGTTCTATTTTTAATCGGCCAGTGAAAATGTAGTTCCGCTTTTTTTTGCTTGTTTCAAATTCTAGCATTGCAGATGATTAAATGATTCATGACATATTAAAATACAGATTTCTTGAAGTAAGTAACAGCAATAGTTGATCTGCTTCTGACCACTAATTTATGCTGTCATCTTGTTAAGATTAATTAAATGTTGTAACTGAATATCTGAAAAAGTTTGTTTTTCTATGTCAGACAATCACCACTGTTTATTTACAACCTAATGCACATTTCCTTTGGACAATTATACCCTTAACTATAAAGCAGTTGTGTTATATGGTTACATTTTCCCATGGATGATGTTTAAAAAACTCAAGTAAATAAAAAAAGGAAAATCTTATTAGTTGCAAAGCAACTAAAAGAGGTTGTCTGTTCCCTTAACTTCGATTTTAATTAGTGTGAGATGTGAAAAGTATTTATCACTGAAGTCTGTGATGTTGAATGACCTGTTACTTTTAACATCTGTTACTTTTAATTATCCTGTAGCTGAAAAGTATAATATATTGTATAATATCATGGTTTTCTAGCACACATTTATTAAGAATGCCAAGCCAGTCTCAATTTTGAGAGACCTGATCACAGAAGCTATGGAGATCAAGGCAAAACGACATGAGGAACAGCAGAGGGAACTGGAAGAAGAAGAAGAAAATTCGGTGCGTGTGTGGTTTTTTAAATTATTTTAAATTTACATTTTATCTTTTACAGTTTTTTGGTCATTTTTTCTACCTAGGTGTGTAAATATTTTGAATCATTTTAATTTATCTTTGACATGTGAGGCCTGAGCTAGTCAGTCATACTCATGTTGAGTAATATTTCTGTGACTAAGGCAACAGCAGCTGATTTACTGCACAGCTTCATCAGCTGTCCTTTTACTAACTCGTATTAGAATAGAGTGGCTATTTCTACCTTAACTCTGTTATCCTAGGCTAAACAAAAATGGGCAGACTAAGATTTTAAAGAAATGGATGCTATATTCATATAGTAGATTCCCAGTTCTCTGAGTGCCTGGTTTAAGAAAAATACTGACTACTCAGTTGGTTTTATAAAACAGGTATTTACAAGGTAGAATTAGCAATCTGAGTTGAATTGGATGATATCATTTTTACATTACACGTGTGACTTTTCACACAGGCTTGTTAGCCTGTGTGTGATGGTAGCAGGTGATAAAGGTAAAATGTGTATAGTTTTACTTGTATAAGTAAATCATTCTTCCTTAATTTTATTTCCAACTGTAAATTACTTGTTTTAGATCTATGAAGTGTTGCTCTGTGAATTTCAGACAAACACTTTGTGATATGTGCCACTAGAGAAACCAAGATCATTCAGGAATAAGGCTCAAGAAAAAGGTGACAACATGAATCTTGATATGAGTCTGACAGATTTGAATAAACTGAAATGGATAGTATATTTGACTATATATTGTGTGTCACAACATAAAAAATCTTAGTTATGTATTTAGGAGTTTAGGATGATGCATATAGGAACATATTCCAGGCAGATAGTGTAGAGGGTTTGTTTGGGATCTGGCCTAAGACACATTCTTTGTTTATATGACATTTACCAGTTCCAGCAGAGTGGTTCATTGACTGACAGTATGTGCTTTTAACATGGATTATCTCTGGGTAGTATTTGCCTATCCAGTAATAAAACATGAAGGGAAGGATGGGATTAGCTTTCCTATATGAGCAAACACCATCTATATGAAATGATGTAACTTTATATGCAGTTTTGTTGCTTGGTATTTATAGGATAAAGAGATCCTTGAAAAAGCTAATTTATCAAAGACCATACAAAATTAATGTTGGGGTTTTTTTGCATGTTTTTCTTCTTGCTTATTGCCTCTCAAGCTCTAAAACTCAGAATGTTGGTATTGTTTTTGTCATAAGCCCTCAACAAGGAGCAGGATGTAGTTGCACAGTTTCAGGTGCAGACTGAGAGCCAGATTTTTACTTAGAAGCCTTAAGTAATCTGTGTAAGCTTTATGCTTAGCCCAGTTACTTCCCCTAGCAGGCAGTTCAGCTGTGCTAGCTGGATTGCTGGAGGAAAAAGGAAGCCAGAACTCTTTTCATCTTCACAGTAGGGAGAACGAGCAGCTCCATGCAGGCTGTGCGGCCTCTCACACTGCTATCCTGATATGAACATGGAGTGCATGGAAGGAACTCTGCAGACACCAGACAGACTGCAACTGAACCTTGCACGGTGGAGGAAAGTCACCATTTTATAAAAAAAAGTCTCAAGCTAGCTCTTCAATTACTGTGTGTGCATTCTGTCCGTGCATTGGAACCAGTCAGTTAACTCAACATGTTAATTACAAACAGCCTTTCCCAGTGGGACAGATTCTGAAACATCCTTTAAATGTTTTCCATGGGAACAAAAGTCAGTGCTCAAGGTCTTGCACAGTTTTTTCCCCTAGATTTTTCTGGCATTTGTTTTGCTGTGCTTGGTGGCAAGGAATGTCAAAGATGTAGGTTACAGTCAAGTGTGGCCCAAGTTTCTGTTTCAGGCCCTTTTCCTGTACAGTTGGAACTGGCTGGAGTTTCGCTTTGCCTTTAATGCTACAGTCAGAAACCAAGTTATAAACTCTAGAAGACAACATAGACCTAATGGAATTTTACAGAAAAACAGGATCAGGCACATGTACAGAGCAAGAGAGCACAACTGCATAAATGGAATATAAGGAAATGTTGAAAAAAATATTAATTGGCATGATGAACTTTAGTATCTGAAAAGCAGGAGCCCAGATATTCCCAGCCCTTTTGGAGGCACCATTGCCAAGGAGAGTTTTAGGGAGTATTTTAAGAGGGTGTTTACAGAAGGTGTTTACAGGGAACTCAAATATAAACAGTAGGATGGGAGAAACACAAAGGTGCTTGTTTGAAAATGTAACAGGAAGGTTATGGAGGTTGGCATTTCTGCCCCATTTGTGCCTGGAGTTTTGACATCTCAGTAGTGAACAAGCAATGATATATAGAGTGTTTTTTTAGCCACGAAGGGCCTTGTAATTGAAGGCTGAATAGCTTATGTGTCTGACAGAGAAAAAGGAGCTAGTAGAGGAAGGCAAAGAGAAGGGTGGCATGGCCAAAAGTCTAGGAGACTAATCTTTCCAGCAGCGTTCCGATTGCTTTTGTTGAAACTGTAGAGAAACTGTTGAGTTCTGTTATCACTGTTAAATACCAAAATAGTATATTTGTTTATAGCTTTTTTTACCATCCTTGTTTAAGCGTCATCTATTTTAATCTTGTTGTTTTTTACTGCTGCACTGAAGAGTGGATTGTGATTAGCTAATTAACATCACGTAATAAATAAATAATGACAGATGGTGGCCTTAAGGCATGTGAATAAGTGAATCCAAGTTCTTGGGGTTTAGATGCACACAGGCTGCATCTACACAAGATGCTGACTGCTCAGTAGCCCGATACTACTGCACAGTAGCCTTGCACAGCAAAAACCATGACATAACACTACTGTGCAGTAGTTTATATAAGTACTAAATGACTGGGCAGTAATGACTGCACAGTCAGTGTCTCAGGTAGACATGCCCACAGCGTATTGTTTCACGTGTCATGTAATATAGTGAAAAGAATTGAAGCAAGTTAACCTGAATATTACTTACCTGTTTCTGTCTTATATGCTATACATGATTGATATCTAGTTAGGTATCTAGATAGACATGCTAAATAGCCACATGGTAGAGATATGCAAGAGAGATGTGAAATTTACTCCACTAAAATTTAAACTTGACAAATGATGGGCTAACAAAGCAATAGTAAGGTAAAAAGAAGACAGAACATAGACATAGAAGACAGCGTACATTGGTAGTGCTCAACCTTTTGGCCCTGCAGATTAGATGAGTGGTGCAGAGCTGGTTTGTGGAGTGAATCAGTCCCTGTATGCCTGGATCAGACCCTGAGCTTCCTCGGCCCATCCCTGCTTGTGTGGTTTGGGCCCTGCACTGCCTTAGCTGGCCCTGTGCACGTGATCTAGTGTGCAGGGCCACACTGTCCAGCCCCCGTTTCTCCCCATGGGTCTGGAAATTTGGCAGCATGGAAGCAGAAATTAATGCTGCTAATGTTCCCTTGTCACCAAATTTTTGAACCTGTGGGGAGCCCCACGGGCCCGATGATACAGCTCTAGGGGCTAGTTCTGGCCCTTAGGCTGGGGTTTGAGTACCCCTGGTGTACATCATAAAGATTGCATGGTTATTCAGAACAGGCCAGTGCTCATTGTGGCACAAAAAATGTATTTTGTTATATTGCATATGTACCATTCTTGCATGCATCATGGTTGAAATTTGTCTTAGGAAGAGATTTGAATGAGGAGGGAGCAATAGCCTTGTATCTTAGCTCAGGATGGATATTCCATATTGAGAGAAGATGGTACAAAGAGGGAGTAAACTGAGGGAACAGTTGAAAGAGAAGGTGACAAATGTAGCATACAAGCTGGCATCACTAGCAAAATGACAAGGCTAAATAAACTCCATGGGATTGCTTTACTTTTAAAAGCTGAAGTTCTTTTGTTTTTTTCTACTCCTTCAACTTAGAAAAAACTATAAACAATTAAATTTCTTGTTGTCTCAAACAGTCACCATAATGAACTTAAAAATATTTATGGTTATCAAATCAAGAGTGCTTTAGATAAGTCATATTTAAGTAGATAAAAATATTTAGAAGAATTCATCTTCACTCAGAAAGGTGACTGACAAATTTTGTCCCTATATTTTGATCAATATGTTTCTCTGCCCTTTTATGATGCATTTTTACCTTAATTCTTTATATAATTATGGCAACCAATCATGAATGGAAAAGATAGACTGTCCTTTTCTTTGAGGCTTATGGAGTTATGGTTAGTATCTGGTGGCTATTTTTTGCAAAACATGCTAATGAAATATTTACTATTAAGAAGTATAGTTGTTGCTGACAGGAACTATATGTACTCTAATTCTCTATACACTGCTCAGAAAACTAAATTCTTTAATGAAAAATAGCTTAAACCTGTAAAAAATGTTATAATGTAAAAGAGAAGTTATTAGGGAGATAACATTTAAAACTTTCATCATGAAAATTATTTAAATTAATCTACCTAACAAACACAGTTTCAGTTTCAACAACAATTATATAGTGGTAATTCATGAATAGTTTTCATTGTATTCCAAAGCATAAAAAAGCCTCTTGGTCTAAACTAGTTTTAGTAATTCCTGAATCCTGATGTGGATATCCCTTGTGTTGTTATTGCAGTTTCAGTACAATCCATCATCATAGGAAACTCCAGCTTTCATATGAGAGGTGAAACCAGGGTCTTGCCAAATTGTAATCATTAAAGATTCCAGTACATGTTTTATGAGTGCAGTAGTTTACCCTAGTATTCAGTATCTGTACTTGCAGTTATGCTCTACCTGTTAACTATACTTATGCATTTTAATTGGACAAATTATTTTCTGCATGTCCTGAACTGTATAGAGGTAGGTTAGGAGTAGGTAAAAGGAGGAGGACATGTCTACACATTCATTAATGTGCATGCGCTTTAGGCAGGGTACATTATATCTAGTACCTCCATTATGAGGTACTAGAGAAATGTGCATTAGTCTATTTTAATGTACAGTAGCCAAAGAGCACAGTGATTTGTAATGCTTTAATGTGTATTAAAATAGGCTAAT